GTTTTGATAAAAGAAAAGAGGGGGGGGGGGGGAAGGGATAAAAATAGTAAATGATAATAATAAAATGTGCTGGGTTGTAGTGGCGAAGGAGGTCGGATCAACAGCAGTGGGGGATTGGGTGCTCATTTTTGCTGGAAAAGTAAAGGGGGGAGAAAAGAAGCGAGTGTGGGTGTGGTTGGATCAATATGATTGGGGGATTGGGGGATTGGGTGTGTGCTTGTTCGCTGGGAAATATAAAAAAAAAAAAAGAGAAAAAAATGTTAAGTGAAGGCTTAAAATTTGCAGAGTTTTGTAGGGGGATAGATAGATAGATAGATAGATAGAGAGAGAGAGAGAGAGAGAGAGAGAGAGAGAGAGAGAGAGAGAGAGAGAGAGAGAGAGAGAGAGAGAGAGAGAGAACCTCAATGTTACCTGGCTTCACACACACACAGAATCTCAACGTTGCCTGCCTTCTCTGAATAAGATATCGGGCTTCGCTCCACTACACAATATATATAATGTGTCTGAATTCATCTGAAGTTCCTAGCCCAGATACATTCGGATCCACTCAACATTTTGAATGTATCTGGATGACCTGTGTCCAGGTACGGCTAAAGAATGTTATGAATTGCGAAGTGAGGCTCATTACATCTAATACTCTCTTTACCAAGTTCAGCAAAGAGTTGACTTGATCCTCACCCAGATACATTTGGATTGACTTAACATTTTGAATGTATCAGGACAACTCCGGTGTCCAAGTACGCTACGAATTGCAATGGTAGGCTCATTACATGTGATACTCTGTTTCCCAAGTTTAGCAAAGAGTGGAAACTATACGCGATGCGCAATCATAGTCTGTTGGCCAATTTTATCAAATAGTTGAGAAGAGTAGAAAGACCCCCCCGGGTCCGGCCCCACCAAAAAAAAAAACTGTAAAAAAGTAAAAAAAATATGCAAAAACAACAACAACAATTTAAAATGGATTCCACGATGCGGACCCCAAATTCGAATTTCAGGATCAAGGTCTCAGGCCAAGGGAGGCCAAGGGGGGGCAAGGGAGGCCATTTCAGAAGGGTCACAGTCTTTTTTTTTTTTTTTTTTTTTTGAGAACACCTGTCTGTTTGCTAGTGGTGCTGATACGAGCAGACGCCACTAGCACCATCCAGGGCTCCATCTATTGGTGGGGAGCTGCACCTGCTGGAAATCGGGTCCAGCGTCCCACAGATACAATTGAATATTTTCACAGGCATGTGTAACCATGTCATCAAGCTACAGTTGCTTCATCTACCATGTGACCTTAAGCTACAGTGGCTTCATCTACCATGGACTAAAAGGCGACCATTCTGTCGCTGAAAGCAATTGTTGTTGCCGAAAGTGTAGCCACATTAGTAGGCCACACAGAAACTTGTAAGAGTGCTATTATCCCCTGCTCATGCAGGCGAATATAGCGAGGCTCGACTATAAAGGTTGCAGCTGAGAGCAGATGAGGCTTCCACTCCCTTTCATGGCCCAGCGTGGGTTCGTCCTGGAGATGAGAAAAGTTTGAAGATTTGACATTGGTGCTGCCCTTCCGCTGAATCTCTTCCCTTGTAGCTGTTCCTCCCGTGCCCCCATTTGCTTGGCTTGCCTCAGCGATCAGCAGTCAGACATTTTGGGTGGCGAAACCACCTGTCTTTGTAGCCATTGTTGACCTTCATTCTGCAGAAAGAGAGAAAGAGAGGGAGGAAGGGAATTCGAGGGAGGAAATGGGGGTGGAGGAAGGGGATGGGGACTGGACGGGAACAGGGCACGGGGAGGGCATCCATCGTCCCCCGAAGGACACTGAATAAGGTGAAAAGTCTTAGTTAGATGGGGACGGTATAAGCACAAAATTAGTCGGGCGGTACGGGACCTGGAAGTCCCCCAACGGTCGTCTATTCCAGCTGGCCTCATTCCTTCTCCAAGGGTTCCAGCAGATAGTGCTGTCATTCCTTAATTCAGAGAAGGCTTGCTTGGGATCCTGCCAGAGTTGGAGATACGACTCTCGAAGAGCCTGTCTGGCAAGCGGGTCTTTCGCCTGCATACACTCCTGCTGCATTTTCCTGCAGGCTTCGGCTGTTCGGGCTCTTGTCTCTTCTTCAATAGCTTGTTGTGCCTGTGGTAGTCCAAATTGGTGCTCCTTTCTTTCAAAGGAGCACCTGGCTCTCCAGGCCAACATGAGCACCAGCAATCTCGTGTAGGTGAAGAGATTGGTGGCGAAGGGGGTCCATTGTGCCATGAGATGGTTATTCTTGCCGAGCAGGATGAGCCCCAGATCCCAGGGAATATGGAAGGTAGTCAGAGCGTGAAAGGCCGCATCCCACCATCTCCATAGCTGAGCGACCATAGGGCATGCCAGCAGGCAGTGTTCCAGTGTAGCCGCGGCCGGCTGCGTGGTCCTGCAACAATAGGTGCAAATAGGAGAAAGGAGACCTTTCTGCTCAAGGTCCGTGTGAGTGACTAGCCAGTTTGGGGTAGGAAGGCAACGGTGCAAGATCTGCCACTGCAGGGCCCTGAGGGATGTTGGCATGATTGTAGAGTAGGTGGCCCACGATGGAGTACGGATCAGAGCGGTGTCGATAGGCGAGTCTCGCTCCCATCTCTGCAGCAGTCTTTGGTTGATGGGCAGATCCTGGCGGGACGCTTTATACCTCTTTCGAACTGTGTAGTCCCAAAGGCGTGTTTTTTTTTTTTTTTTTTTTTCCGGGCCATTCCCACTCATTCGGGTCGAACGGAAGTCTGGCCAGTGGCACCGCCGGCTCGTATGCGTGGTAACTGTTATCTAGGTCACCGACCACTCTTATGATCATGAGACCTCCCCAGTCCTCAGCGGTGTCGAGGTCATCATTCCTTATAAGTTTAGAAAGGCGGGCCCCCTGTAGGGCGGGAATATAAGCTTCCAACTGACACCATCCCCTTGCATTCACATGCACTTGGTAAACTGCAGGCGGGTGGGGGAGGTCGGCGTATTTGACAACCCAATCGCGCTGTTGGACCGTAGGTCCTGTAATTAGGGTAATTGCCAGGCCAAAGGCAAGGCCTCCCTTAACTGAGACAGTTTCTGTTCGACATTCTTAACATGCTTCAATTTGGCCTGCATTTGTGTTGGGGAGGCCCAGTCATTCGCTCTAGGATCCCACAGATCCTCCATAGTAAAAATCCCTTTCCTTGCCCAAGTTAACCAGTGCGAGTTCGTAGTGAGGGGGAAGGGGTTACCGGTGTGATCCAGAATGTGGGGGTTGGCAAAATGTGGTTGTCGCCACACCGTGTGCCACCTGTTTTGTGGGCGTTTGAGCGACGGGCCACGCTTTCGCCAAATCTTGATCATACTCGGCCACAAGGGGTCATTTGAGATATCCTGTCTGGTCGCTTGGTCCGGAGTGGCCCCCAGCTGTCCCTGTTGGATCGGGCGCGGGATTGTCCAATGGCTGTTGGTCAGCCATCGGAACGGGTGCACCCTGTTTCCAGTTAATGGCTGCGGGGACAGATTGGCTATTTGTATGCAGGCGAGAGGGCCCCAGGGGATATCGTTCCCTAGCAGTAGCCTGACCAACACTTTGAACATCAGGGCGTCACTCTCCCTTTCCGGGTTCAGTATCCCAAGTCCCCCTTTGCCCCTTGGTTGGGTGAGAACGTCCCAGGCGACTCTATTCATACAGCCTTGGGAGTTTGCCCTGTTTTTCCAAAGGTAAGTTGTGAGGGCTTTTCGAAGTCTGGCATACTGGTGCTTGGTCAGCGGCCATACTGCAAGTTTGTACCAAATTGCAGCAAGGATAGCGTTGTTAATAGCTAGAGCCCTTCCTACTAGCGAAGTGTGGAGACCCTCCCACTGCGCCAGTCGGTCAATTGCCAGGTTCACCAGTGCGTCCCCATGATCCAAAGGGGCCCTAGTGCTGTTATGGCCTCCTCGTTCGTCTGCCATTTGACCGGCGGTTGTGGCGGCGG